CTCATAGATCAGATTGTAGCTCAGCTCGTTTATTTCGATTCGAGCTAAAATTCAAATTAATTTGTTAGCGATTAGCGACCTTCGAATTGAATGTACTAAATTCACAGCTCTAGTATCGCTAGTGAGTTAATGATCCGATTTTGAGCCAAGTTGGGTCGGCTTGATATTAGCTTGGAAAAAAATTTGATCCAAAATTTTGACTCATGGCTCGGCTCGTTTTTTTAGATTTGATCCCGGTTCGAGCTTAAATTCTTATCAATTTTGAGCAATTAACAATCTTTGAGCTAAATTCATAGCCCTACACCTGAACTTTCATATTTAGACACATAACACTCAATTTTTTTAATATCACATAAAAATAATAATTTTTACCACTTTTTATGTAAAATAATTTTTTTCAAGCATAAGTGCTTTTTATCTAAATATGAAAGTTAGGTGTGGAATTGTGTGCTTGGTATTTAAATTCCTAAAAATAAAAATTATGAAGGCAATTTCATGGGTAACACTAAGATATAAATATTTATAAAATTAACATTTGATTATTTATATTCATACTTTTACCACTTACAACTTGCAGAACAAAACTATGTATAATACAGTTATCCTTCTTGCTAACATCAAATTTTTAATGATTGAATCATGCGTGCAAAATATGTAGTATAGTTATGTATGTATGTATGTATAAATGTGTGTGTGCACGCAAGCATGTGTGCAAATGTGCACGCGCGCGTGCGGATCAATTGGCGTGTGCACGTGCGTGTAGGTGTGTGCAAGCGCATGTGTGCGTGTGCGCACGAGTGCATGTATGTTTAATTCAAAAGCTACATTTATGAGCTTTGGTGTTTCAACATCAATGTTTTTTTTTTTTTCAAACATCTAAATATGAGATTAGCACAGATTATCAAGGAATATTTGCATGTATATATCAATCTAACACCTAAACTTCAATTTTTACACATGTGCCATTTTATCAATGTATGAATTGATGTGATACAAAAGATTTGGTGGTATAAATATAAAAAAGTAAAATTTAGGTGTTAGATACCTAAAAGCATATAAATTAGGTGATATGTATGTAAATGCCCCAACTATCAAGTATTAGATACCCTTGTATGAGTCCTGTGATAATTAATGAAAAGGATTCAACAAGTTGAAGCTGTCAACTTTTCCTTGGACATTATTGTTTTGGATAATTTATATAGTGTTGAATCCTGATTTGTATGTGAATCACACCCAAGAAATATAGCATAAGTAAGGAGAGATAGAGAAAGACATAAAAAGAGAATGAATGATAATCTGTCGAAATAAGTTGTCTTATTCATAAAATCATTTCCCTATTTATAAAGGAGGCTATACAATATCATGATGTTATATTTTTTTTTTGCTTTAAAGGGGGTTGCACTAGGGTATTTTTGATATTTTACATGGGTAAGTCTATCTTCCGACTGCTTTCTATCTCGGCTAGCTAAGCTTAATTTGCTTTGGGTCAGCTGAGATCCGCTCGGTCGGCTGAGCTTGATCGATTTGATTGGCCGGGTGATATGGCTCAACTGTCGATCCTTGGCCCATAATGAAAATTCTCAGGCCTAGTAAATGAGTCGAGTCGAGCTCGAGCCAACCTCAGTTTGAGCTTGAGCTTCACCATGGTTAATTTTATTGAGTTTGAGCTCGAGCTTGAGCTCAAGTCTACGAGTTGGAGTCAGCTCATGTGCTAATTTGTTTAATATAAAAGAGAAAAAATAATATTAACTTAAGGTAATATTATAATAAAATGTCAGATAGAACGAGCAATTATGTAAGAAAAAAAAAATCACTTAGTAAAAAATATAAAAAAAAAAATTTAAAACACTTTTAATTCCTTTAAAGATAAAATCTTCAAACATAATATTTTTTAAAACGAGCCTACTCATGAGCTAACGAGTCGTCGGGGTTAGCCTGAGGTTGGCTTGTTAGCTCATCGTGCTCAATGTAAGAGCTGCTTATCGAGCCTAAACTCGAGTAGGCTCACGATTCAGGGCATCCCTGGGATGGTTGGAGCTAGGGAACGGATCTTTCCTTGGATCGGTTCTCTTATTGTGATCGGCTAGGATACCCTTTTATCTCGTTTTTGGTTCGGTGGGTCTTTCTTGTATCCTCCTATCATTTTTGGCCTTGCTCGTGGTTCAATCGGTTCTGGCATTGCTGGCCTGACTCGTATAGCTTCATTTGGTCAAATAAAAAGGCCTCATGATCTTCTTTTAATTGACCCAGCTTCACCATACTCTTCCTTTCTGAACCGTTTGATCTCTTGAGGACCAGCACTAACACGTTTTTTATATGCACATAGATGCCTCAAAATTTTTATGTTCTGAAATATCTAACACTGAAAATTTGATATTTAAATTTACAATGCTTTCATATCATAAAATTATGGGTGAAAAGATATATTTCACTTTTCAAACCTAGAAAAATGTGTGTCATGCATGGAAATATGAATTTTTTTTTTTGTTAGATATGTATGTATAAAAGAATTTTGTGGTATTTATATATATAAATGGCTGTATTGCTTTTCATGTTAATTACATTCTCAAAACTCTCCTTTTATAATTCCTACTGTTTTGAAATAATTTATGTGCTCAGGACGCATTTAAGCGTACCAAAAGGCAAACTTTACAGAACAATAAGAATGAAACCGAACCAGCTGATGCTGACCCGGATGATGAAGATGATGATGGTGAGGGGGACGACAGGGAGGGTGAAGATGATTTCTCAGAGGAAGCTGAGGAGGGGAATGAATATCTTAAGGATAACAGCAATTTCAAGGAAGGCCCTGGTGATGAAGCAGCAGCAGGTGGTGATGAAAATGGGGAGGAGGAGGAGGACGGGGAGGAGGAGGGTGATGAGGATGATGACGAAGAAGAAGAAGATGATGATGACGATGATGGGGGGGATGACGAGCAAGAGGGCTTAGAGGATGAGGAGGAGGAAGAAGAAGAAGAAGATGAGGAAGAGAAGGAGCTTCATCCCACAAAGAAGAGGAAGCGGTTCTGAACAATTGGGCTGCTTTCTTTCTGTAAGTTTGTATCAGATCTCAAACCTTCCTTAACATGGAGTTGTTATGCTTCTGGAGCTTTAGAATGGAGGTTTTACGTAGAACTTGTATTGGAAAGGTATTTAATTCTCTGTTGGGTGTAATCTGATAACATGATTCCCTTAGCTTGAATTATAAGGCCCTTTTCTGAAACCATTTGTTTTTCTTTAAACTCTGCATTTAAAGATGATTATTGGGTTTAAAAATCTGTGAAATTTTTTAAATGAACTGAGCAATTCATAGCAACTTAATATTCTTCTCATGTCATAGAATTATATTACATTTTTTTTTTATGTTATTGATAATTTATAGGGACATTTATAAACATACCATCAATTCTTATGTATTTATATATCTAACACCAACATTTTTCTTTTTACATTTATATCACCGAAGTCCCATATAATTGCAGAAGTACCACCATTTTAACTTGAAAAAAAGAAATGAAATACACATTTTCATCAATAGGTAAGGTGACTTGTGCATAAAAGTTAAAAAGTTTAGGTGTTAGATATGTAATACATAGCAATTGTGTGGTATGTATGTAAAGTAGGGCTGTCAAAATGGCTCGTTGTTCGCGAACAGCTTGTGTTTGGCTCTTTAAGAAACTCGTGCTTGGCTCGTTCGCTAAGTTAACTAGCCGAACACGAACAACACGAACCAATATTTATTCGTTAGTGTTTGGCTCGTTTTGGCTTGAAATACTATTAATCAATTATTTATATATATATATATCATTGATGAGTAATATTTTTAAGAAAATTAATTGACTACAAGGCTAAAAAAATATATAATCAATTAAAAGTACTAATGAAGAAAATAGAATAAAAAATATTAATTGAGATTCAAATGATTTTTAAATCTTGTCCTAATCCTTAACATCTTATGGCTACGTAATTAGGGTTGTCAAAACGACTTTTTATTCGTGAACGGCTCGTGTTCGGCTCGCTAAGCAAACAAGCTAAACACGTACACATTTTTTTAGCTTGAAATATAAACAAACCGAACACGAGGTGAGCCTGGGATCGCTCGTGTTCAACTCATTTACACCCCTAGTAAAGCTTCCTAATCTATACACAGGTTATTAATATTTTATTGTAATAAATTTTGCTTGGTGTGATTTAATAGTATGTTACATTTTTTATAAACATATATATTACACAATGAGGAGAAATTAATTAGGACTTTGTTATTTTTCTTCATTCTATTTTACTTGTCAGTTATTTCCATAAAAAAGAAAATTGATTCTATGGACATATTTGTAATTAAAATTTTCTTCTCAAACCCCTTGACATACACCTATAGCTGTCAAAATGGCTCGTTCTTCGTGTGCGGCTCGTTAAGCTTAACGAACGAGCAGAACATGAACAAATTTTTAAGCTTAAATATAAACGAGTTGAACATGAACAAATTTTTAAGCTCGAAATATAAACGAGCTGAACATGAACAAATATTTGTTCGTTCGTGTTCTAATTGAATTGACTTGAAAAGAAATAAATAAATTAATAAATAAATATAAATATAAATATACTCAATATTTTGTGGTGTTATTGGTATTATTCCACAAAATAACACTGCGGTGTTATTCGAGCGTTATTCGCGGTGTTATTGGTGCTATCGGTGTTATTATGCAGTGTTACACCACTAATAACACCAAGTAACACCGCAAAATAACACCGTGGTGTTATTCAGATGTTATTCACAGTGCTATTGGTGTTATTTTACGGTGTAATACCGCGGAATAACACTGGTAACATCATTAACACCGCGAAATAACACCAGAATAACACCGCAGTGTTATTCAACGATATTACCACGAATAACATCTGAATAACTCCGCGGTGTTATTCTGCGGTGTTACTCTATAACACCAATAACACTGTGAATGACACAACAGTGTTATTCTGCGGTGTTACTCGGTGTCATTCCGCGGAATAAGTTCTACCAAGCCTATTTCGAGCCAAACACGAACAAGAATATGTTAACACAAACATAATGCTCACGAGCCAATTCCAACACGAGCCATTTTGAACACGAGCCAAATTGGAACGAGCCGAGGCTTAGCTTGCTCAATCTCGGTTCGTTTACAACCCTACATACCCCCCAAGTCTCTTGCCTTTAAATGGTATATCTCAGCTCATTTACATATATACCACATAAATTTTATGTGTTTAAATATCAAACACCTGAACATTCATATTTACAAGCATATCACTGAAATCTTTAACATCATATAAAAAAAACCTTTACCATTATGTTTTTAATATGTAATACATCTTCTCATACATAAGTTTATGACATCGAAATATTATTCGTACAAATATCAAACTTTGAGTACTAGATATGTAAATATATAAGAACTGTATGGTATGTATGTAAATTTTCCAATAAAAAGACAGTGCATCGTTCTCTAATTCAAACTACAACCAAAACAATGAAGCTCTTTATACCAACATATCCCATCATGCTTTACATCTGAACAAAACCATATCCAACATTTCAAATAAATTTTTTAATTTTCAGGACTGTAAAAATCAATTTTTTTTTTTCAAATTTGCAAATAATTTGAAGAACTCAGTAGCCAGCAGGCAATCCCCCTTTCCTTGCAAATTTGCAAATAATTTGATGAACTCAGTAGCCAGCAGGCAATCCCCCTTTCCTTGGATCACTAACTGCGGTTAGGCTACCCAGCTTGAGTTTTCCATGTGATATTGATTTCTGGAAGTTGTGAACAATGAACTGACAGATAGTCCCACCGGCCAGAGGTTGTAGGACATGGCCCTTCTTCTGTAAGGCCTGCCTTGCAGCAGCAGGAACTTCGAAATGGTCTCCACTGACTGTAGTCCAGTTCTCGTATTGAACAACATTAGGTATCAACTGTAATATTTACAATTATTAAGAAGCTAGCAAAAAAGCATGGGAGCATTGACATAAATACCATACAATTCTTATATATTTACATATCTGACACCTAACTTCCATATTTACATGCCTAGCACTCAAATCCTTAATATTATGTCAAAAATACTAGTGTTACTAATTTTTTACATACATACCACCCTACCTATCTAAGAAAAGGTGTATTTCATTTTTTAAAAGTTAAAATGATGGTATTGTTTATGTGATATGAAAGCCTTAAATGATATAAACGTATAAAGCAAAGTTTGGGAGTTAGATATGTCAATACATAAGAATTGGGTGGTAGTTTGCAAATGCCCCATTTTATTTTTCTTTTAATCAATCATTTTATTTTTAAATGTACTGCATTTTGTACATTGCACCTAAAATGTTCATGTCTTTTATGATTTGATCACCCACAATTACAACTCTGCCACTAGAGCTATTACTACTAAAATTATATTTCATGTATTTATAGTTTTATGTATTTAGTTTTAGATCTACTCAAACGAAGACCTTTAGACTCCAATATAGACCTCCATAAGTCAAGTTTTTCATGAACTCCTTCTCTAATCTTATCCACAAGAAGGATATTGTTAGCGAAAAGCATACACCAAAGTACATCCTCATGTAACTTTAGTGCAAGAAAACTTCTATCATAAAAGTTAAAATGATATAAAGAGGAGAAAAGACCTGATGATATAATCTTGGAGCCATTACAGAGCTGAGTGGATCCATTCTCTTTGCAAAATGATTCAAGAAAACCTCTGTAGTCCCTGCAATAATCATACTTCCTCCACTTGCTCCCACTACAGCTTTTAGTTGCCCATCCTGTAACAAAAGAAAACTTCTGAGAACTAGCAACAGAACAACCTTTCATTTACATGGTTTTTTGTGTAAAAAATAAAATGTTAATATGTTCTTCGATGTCAATTGAAATGGCTTTTCTTTACACCAATAAGAAACAAGTTTAGATCAAGATTTGGGGCATTTACATACATCCCCACTCTATTCTTATGAATATACACATCTGACATCTAAATTCTAACTTTTACATTTATACCGCCCAAATCTCTCATATCACATAAAAAATACCACCATTTTAGCCTTTAAAAAGTGAAATACACTATTTCATCCATAGGCAAGTTGGTATGTATGTAAAAATTGAAGTTCAGATGTTAGTTATATAAATACATAGGGATTGAGTGGCATGTATGTAATTCTTCCTAAAGATTGGTAAGAAAAGAAAAATGCAAAAACTACCTCGACAACAATTGTTGGTGACATAGATGATAATGGCCTTTTCAATGGTCTAATGAAGTTTGCAGGAGCTGGTGGAGGAACATTTGCAGTAATATTCATGGGGATGGAAAAATCATCCATTTCATTGTTAAGCAAAATGCCCGTACTTGGTGAAAGAATATGTGCTCCAAAGTACGAATTAACAGTGCTCGTCATCGAAACGGCATTTCGTTCGCCATCAACAATGCATAAGTGACTAGTTCCATGGTCGCTGAGTACGTTCCACCTACGTACCAAAGTCAATGGGTTACTATGGATTTGAAATCTAGGAATGAACTTTTGAAAATTAATATGAAATGAAATAAATACAAAAAAAAAACATAGGTTTTTGATGTTTTAAGTAGAGATGCACAAAATAAGCTTTTTATGTAATCCAGATACAAAAATAATAAGCCAAATTGTTCCTATTAGTATTCAGATAATGTTCATAATCTTGAGGGTATATGTTTGGCCACAAGGTTTTGAAAATAAGACTAAATATTGAACCGAGAGAAGGATATGTTCAAGTTTCAACAATTTAACTGGGTTGAAATGAATAAATTAATAGATATGAATATTATTTTAATATAAATTAAATAATATAATAATAATGTAATAATAATGCTATTTTCATTAATTTAATATACAATTTCCTTATTCAGACACTTCTTGAATATGATTCTAAATCAATATTTTAAAACCTATTTTAATTATCTTTTCTATGGAAATCTTTTATTATTTCTAGTCATCTAATCAATACCAAAAGCTAAAATTTGATCAAAATTAGAATAGAACTGAACGGTTCATCAAAGTTATGCTGGTCAGAGAGCCGGTTCATTGCAATTTTTAAACAACATTTGGACATGATAAAACTTGGGGGATATATTGAAGATTCTCAAAGTCATGAATATGAAATTTATAGATGAATGAGTGTGAAAGTTAATATATGACTCAAACGAGCTTTTATTTTAGCAACCACATAAAAACATACTCAGATAAAGTCTGCAAACCATAACAGTTAAAAGAAAAACAATGCCAAATGTCAAAAAATAGAAAAATGGGAGAGATATCAAAACAATAAGTAATCAAGTTTTAACTATTTTAATTCAATTAATGAGCAGTTGCATATAATGAAAGAGTAAAAGGGGAAAGGAGGTGAAAAATAAAGCAATTTGATAGCTTACTTTCCACCATAGTGGTCAGGAGTGAATGTCATATTATCTAATATGGTCTTCTTCAGCTCATGCGCAAACTTAGGGGATAACATATCAGAAAGAACTTTTGTAACGTTTACAAAGTCAGGATCCCCTAAATTCATTCTTACAGCAAACATGTGTTTCAGTGATTCTATCAATCGATGAAGCCCAAGAGAGCCAGAAACACCAGAAGGAATTCCATATTGAGAAAGGATGTTTAAAATCTGTTCCAAAAAAGATTTTAAAAAAAAATTAAAAAGAAGATAAACAATAAGTGTTAAATGGCAGCTTGAGTTGGATAGCAAATCTTCTAAAAGTACTGAATGGTTATAAAAGTCCGAGAAAAGTATCAAATTTTTGCAGGGGGCATTTTAGTCTCAGAGTCTACAAATTGTCAATTCAGTCCCCATATTCTTTTAATATGGGCTGAAATAATCTCTACGGAGAATTATTTTAGCCTCAATTTAAAGAGTTTAAGGACTAAAGTGAAACTTTTAAAGACTTTGCGGCAAAATTGGCTCCATGTAAATAATCAGGAGAATATCTTGGCGCTTCACTCAAAACTCAAATTATACAAACAGAAATGCCTAAATTCTTCAGGATTGGTAAGCATTAGTTGTTGACATTTTTTGCCCTCAAAAGAAACAGATAAAGATTTTTCAAAGGAAACAGATGGTTTCTTCCATTTGAGCTAGTAAATGTACTTCTGTTCTGCTCATACATTTGCAAAAAAAAACCTAACTAACTGTGTTTTAATAGTTTAACGATTAAGAAAATATGTTTTACGTTAAGTATCCTCTACAAATAAAATGATAAGTATTTTAGTTGGTTCGAACATTTTGCTTTCATTCATGATCCATGAGGTGTTAAATGTAGTTTCAAGGTTCCATTATTATTTTTCTTCCAAATGCGGTCAAACTTGTTTTGATTTGTTGTTAGATTCATAACAACATTTAAAATACTAAAATTCAACATGATATGATATGTTCAAAAATTTCTAGTGCCCATCTTTTTCATTGGGAACTACTTGTGCAGAGCTCTTGAAGGATTGCTTTCATCCCACTGGATGCTTATCTTGCATGCCTTCCCTGTCTTTTCATCTAGCAGTGAGACCGCCGGGGCATCAGAGGAATAAAATTAATAAGAAGAATACATTTTAAAAACACCTAATTAAAAACAAATTTGGTGTCTTAAAATTATGCATGAAAAGGTGCATTTCACTTTTAAAAAGTACGTTTAAGTGGTATACATTCAAGATTTGAGTGTTACGCATGTAAGTATTGAAGTTTAGGCATTAGATATGTAAAAATATAAGAATGTGTGCTATATAAGTAAATGCCCAATTGGGAAAATGGATATAGTTATACTCCCTAAAAGACACAAGATGAAAAATTGAAAACTTACAAGCGTCATTCCAGCACCACCAGATGAAGGCGGCGGCATTCCAAGAATATTCACCCCCATCACATCAGCCGATATTGGCTCCTTAATGCTTACTCTGTACTCTCGCAAGTCTCTCATCGTAATTATTCCTCCCAATTTTCTAATATCTTTCACCAACGCGATTCCAATAGAACCATTATAAAAAACCTGGGGTCCATGCCTTGCAATAGCTTCTAATGTATGTGCAAGTCGAATATTGTGACAAAGATCACCAATTTGTAGAAGGGACCCATTTAATGTAAATATTTGCCGCAAGCCCTCATCCGCCAAAATCTCATTTTCAGTTTTACTCATTTGCATGTGTAAATAAGGAGAAATTTTGAAAGCTCGAGCGAGAATTGCAGCGGGCCGTACGAGCCTTGACCAAGGAAGCTTTCCGTGTTGATTCCATGCTTCATGAAGGCCTGCAAGTTCCCCTGGTACTCCAATGGAAAGGGCACCGCTTGCTTTCAGTGAAGTATTGCCACCATACATATTCTGTAAAATCATTAAAATTTTATTGACATTTTAACAATGATTTTTTTTTCGATGCAGAGCCAAATAAAAGCTATTAGAAGTTTAAAGTATATATGGGTAAACTGTTATTAATGATGATTATTACATGGTTATATTAATAAGGCAGAGGAATTTTTGCAAATTTACGTATGATTTAGCTACGAGAAGTTTCAACGTTTCAAACATGCAATCGACAATCTAATAATTGCAGCATAACCTGACCAATTTCGTTGGTTTGCTCGCAATTTAAATCTGCAACGAAAAAGAAGTAAACAGAATAAAGAATATGTAGAATTCATCTCTAAGACCAATGATCATAAACACTAAATTAGGAGTTACTTATGGAGCCCAAACACTTATAATCCAATAACCCCTTGTGAAATTCGGTTTTAGTAAAAGTTATAATCAACCAAATGAGTTCTGCCAAACAATGCACACCCCTAACTTTGAACCACAAGAACTCTCAAAGGAAATACCACTTTTTTTAGTGCTCCCTCCACATCAAGATAATATCACCAAAGTTGCCAGGTCAAAAAGAATAGCAAGTTGTTGGTCAAGACAAGGCCACCTCTAAACTGAACCACATGAAAAACATGAACCCAAAACAAAAAAAGAAAACTCTTTAAATGTCAAAGTTACATCAAGCCTTTACAAGAAACTATGAATCAGTTGAATCAATTAAAGTTTATTTGACAATTCGACAACTTAGCCACAAAGGACTGCCTCTAAATTTCAACCAGGATTAAAGAATTAGCAAACATTATGATAAAGCATAGCTAACACGTGAAAAACAAACATTCAGATAAATTTAAAGAGTTCCATGTATCGTCAAAATGGGAAATTTAAATAGATACCACATAATTTTTATGTATTCACATATCTAACTCCCAAAATTTGATATTACACTTATAACGCTTTGATGCCATAAACTTACGCACGAAAAAGGTGTATTTCACTTTTAAAAAGATAATGATTTTGGCATTTTTTATGTGATGTTAAAGATTCAAGTGATGTACACTGGAATAAGAATGTTTTGGTTTTAGATATGTAAATACATAGAAATTGTGTGGCATTTAGATGAATGTCCCAATCAAAACGGACAATATACATACTTATCACAAAATTTTTAATGTATTTACATATCTAACACACATGGTTTGATATTTACATTTATAGCACCCTGGTGTCATAAACTTATGCATTATAGCATGTATCTCACTTTTAAAAATATAATAATGGTGGTATTTTTGATATGATGTTAAAGATTCAAGTGCTATACATGTAAATATGAATGCTTAAGCGTCAGATATGTAAATACATAAATTGTGTTCTATGTATGTAAATGCCCAAATCAAAATTCAAACTAGAAATAAGATGAATTACCTCTGAAGCAAGTAGCGGAGCCGTTTCCCGGCTATCGAAGGCCTGCGCTTTTCCATCTGCCAACCTCAGAATCATGAAAGCACCGCCTCCAATACCACTTGACGCAGAGCTAACCACGCCCAAGCAAAGGACAGACGCCACGGTTGCATCCACCGCATGACCTCCCTCCTTAAGGACCTCTCGCCCAATCCGAGAGCACCGCCGATCATCAGTGGCAACAGCACCATGACTCGATTTGATCACCTCAAGTCGATGTTTAGCAAATTCATTTCCAAAAGCTGGGCTCGTTGTTAGTAGAACCACCATAATGATGAGCGAAATCTGAAACATAGCTGCAAAAGGCCATGAAAAATATCTCAGATACCAAATATTGTTTCTTCTATTAAAAACTAAAATTCAAAGATTAAAAACTAAAATTCAAAGTGAACTGCTTTCCATTTATGCATTTTATATTCTGATACCTCCTCCAACTCCCAGTTTTAGACGCAAAAAATATGATAAAAATAGTAAAAATTCACAGTACGAAACAGCACTGTATTACTAATAAAGATCAAGGCAAGGCTTCACCATATTGTTTCTAAGGTGGACAGGTATCGAGGATGGTAGTATGAAAAAAATACTTTTTTCTTAATTTTTGTTTTTTATAAAAACAGAGCAGATGCGTGTCATTTTTGTTACTTCTAACTCCAAACTTTGTTTCCTTTCCAAAGTATCTGTAACAAATCAATCCTTCTCTCTCCCTGGGTTTTCAGTTAACGGAACATATCAATGTTTGCTTAAACGCACAAAAACACTCCAGAAATTTACATGCAGAGCTAGTTAGATCAAAAGCATAAGTGATCATGAGGCCATAAAAAAACATTGCATTTAGGGGGTTTTAATTCTAGCCATAAATAACAAACTTGAACAATCTGTCAAACATCTATAGTTCACTACATAAATCAGTTGCAGAAAGCTATATTCTTGGCATTAAATACACCAAATTTAAATTTTGCCAACTTTCAACAACCAAACAAGCAACTTTTACGAAATGACTGCTACAGAGGACCTGAAAGAAGAAAAAAAAAAGAAAACATATACGAACTGGACACGGCGGGAGCGTTCTGGGTCCCAACCCAAGTGAGCAAAACCTAACTTTTTTACCAAAAATATAAACTTGAGAAGGAGAGAAGCGAGAAAGATAAGAAGAAGATAGAAAACTACCGCTCATGAAGCTGAAGGCGAGGGGCAACAGGTTTGGGAGAAGAACAAAGTTTCTCACGCCTCACCTCGTGATCCCTTTTTGTACTGCATGCATTGAAGCCGAAGCCATGAACGAGTCGCATAGTTTCATAATATTTAATAGTTGTTGCGAGGAAAAAACATGAAGAAACCGGCACGTCTTCGGAGAAAGTACAAAAGCTTCTCCGCGTGAAGCTCATTTTTGCTTACCAGCTCTGTTGCTTAGCCTTCCCCTTTACCTCAAACAACAAGCAAACTCTTCTCATATTGTCTAACCTCAAACTATTCAAATTATTGTCATCTTGCCTAACACTTTGTTGTGAGAAATCTTATAATGAGAAGATATATTTTATCTTTTAAAGTTGTTAATATTGATATTTTTATATGATGTCAAATTTTTTAGTGTCATAAAAGTAAAAATGGAAATTTGTGTTAGAAGCATAAATACATATGAATTGTGTGGTGTATTTAGAGGCTGTAATATAAAAATTGCTTATTGAATCACAAGATCTCTTGGTCGCAAATATCGGTGATCATGATCAATCCACTTGCTAGTTAATAGGCCATCCAATTTTGGCAATTGATTGCCTTTAAACCTACCATGTAGGACCACTTCTTAATGCCAAACACAACCACTCACAACCCTCATAATACCATTCACCTCATAATCATCTTAAGTCCATAGGCTACTTTTAAAATTACACATCTTTTACCCTCTTTAAAGGATCTTTTTGGACACAAACTATCATATTTTGAAGTCAAATTGTAGCCCGTGATAATCAAAACTTGAAATATTGAGAGATTACTACCCTTCTCATCTAAGAATAAATATATTTCCCCACTTCACCTATAATTGATGTAGACTATAGAGCCCTAATATCCTGAATTATCTAGAATTTCAAGCGCTTGATTGCACAATGACCTCTATTATGTGAATGAAATACCTTGCACATAACACTTGACCTCTTATCATAAACGAGCATCAAATTCAATACTACATGATAGGAAATATGAGAGTAAAATTTTACCAAGCAACCTAAGTTAACGAATAGTCATGAGCATATCCATAATGAAGGCATTAGGGGTGCATTCTCCCATTGGCCCATCCCATTTACTAAATTATTAATTGTACATCCAAAAGTAGAATTCCTAAGCTATCAAAGAAACCCCAAACAGTAGACGTGCCTTCTGAGCCTAATGAACCGAGCCCAATTGTCCAACACAAAGCCTAGTGACACGCCCAAAAATTACCTATTTTTATATATACATTTAGGCTTATTTTTAATGATATTGCAATTTGAAGGAAGGTATATTGCATGTTTTTTGTTTCAGGTACAAGAAATGGAGTTTTGAAAAAAATGAAGCAAATATGGTGTAATTTGGAGCCAAAATGAGCTAGAAGAAAATTCTGACATGGCATATTTCGATATATCATTCTATGTTTAATCTCCTTTACATTTATCACATGTTTTTTAATAAAATTACACATTAAAAAAAATTGTTTTCATGTTTATCTTGTAGGTATAACAGTTAGGAGTGAAACGGAGCTGAAATGGGGCGAAACGAAGCTGAAACGGAGCGAAACTAGGCAAAACAGTGGAGCTGCCTGGAGGGTGGTGCCTAAGCGCCAATCATGACTAGAGAACGGTGCATGGGCGACAAAAACTGGCACCTAGGAACCCAAGACGATTATTGGACGGATTTTTGGAGATTATGGGCTATTCTAGGATGTTCTGGAAGACTCCTGGTTGTTATGCACGCCCCAAAGAGTTATAAAATGAATCTAGAAATTTGGAATGTGAAGCGATATGTCTCTTTGAGTGAAAAATTTTGTCTCCTAGCTACAAACATATTGTACTCGTTAATCAAATTGATTGAGGTCACAGCTATAGGAGTTGTCTCTCAAAAGGATTTGGAGAGCTGCTCCACTGAAATCGTCGGTATTCATGCGAGCTCCTCCGCCCAAGTTTGCTAATACTTATCTAGTTCCTCTATTGACCTTGTATGTAGTTATCGTGTTGCACTGCCAAGTTCATTAAGCGATCCTTTAAGGTTGACGCCACGACAAAAGGAAGCAAACTCTAACCAATGATTGTTCGTTTGCATTTATAAGGCACCTAACAATTACGACAATATCTCATCAACAACAAAACCTTAACAAGCCTCGTATAATACATCATGTAATTTATTATTTATCTATATTTTTATTTTTTTCTTGTATCCCTACAAGGACAAGAACATTGAGAGTTAGATATAGGAGAAGGGGAAAAGAGGGGGATCCATCGGAGGGTAACACACATTTACTAAAATTTGATAATCATTTCCACCTCCTCCACACCTCACAAGGTCTCTCCCGAATTGAATGGATTCACAAACTATACATGACCATATGTCTTAAAATGATTTAATATCCTAAAAGGTGTAGTGAGTGTGGAATTCATTCATTAATCCTACAAGGAGATCTTCAATATAAAAGGAGAAAGAAGGACAACAATGGATTACACATGGAGTTTGTGTTACAACAGATTAACAAATTGAGAGAACAGATGAAGACGATGGTAGAAAAAGTTAGGTGGGAGGCCTCAAGGACCCGATCTAGAGATCATTCTAGAAGCCACATTGGATCATCAGGATCATTAGTACAGAGTTGAGAATCACAAAGACCCCGACCATTGATAAGAGATTACCAATGATAGGGTTAAGGAAAGCCCTAACTCTAAAGTTAGAAGAAGAAAAGGAAGATGATATGTTGTATGTCCTAGAAGAGGATACTTCAAAATGCTTTTATAATTAAAGAAGAAAAAAGAAGAAGAGGAAAGACAATAGAAAATATTTTATAGCATAAATCAATACATTTAGCTCCAATAAGATAAGTTCTGAATTTATCGAAAGCATACATTATAACTAATAATTCCTTTTCAGTATAAGTGTAATTAATTTGAGCTTCATTAAGGGTTTTACTAGCATAATATATTACTTTAAAAATTTTATGGTACATTTGCCATAAAACAGCTCCTATAGAATAATCACTAGCATCACACATTAATTCAAAAGGTTTTTTCTAATCAGGTGAAACAATAATAAGTGCAGTGAATAATTTTCTTTAATAAATTGAAGGCATTCAGGAATTCCTCATTAACATCAAATTTAGTGTCTTTTTCCAAAAGATGACATAAAGGCTTGGAAGTTTTTGAAAAGTCTTTAATATAACGTCTGTAGAAACCAGCATGTCTCCGAAAATTTCTTACCCCTCTTACGTAGGAGGTGGCAATTCAACAATAAATTGAATTTTTATTGGATCTACTTCCATGTCTTTTTCTGAAATCTTATGTGCTAACACAATTCCTCCTGCAACCATAAATTGACATTTTTCCAACTTGAGAACAAGGTTTGTTTCTTCACAACGTTTTAGAACCCTTGTTAAATGATCTAAACATAAATTAAAAGATATTTCAAAAACTGAGAAATCATCCATAAAAATTTTAATTTATTTCTTAATTAAGTCACAGAAAATTGACATCATACATCTTTAAAATGTTGCAGGTGCATTACATAATCTAAATGACATCCTCCTAAAAGCAAAAGTTCCACATGGACTAGTAAATGCAAAAATAGTGGTGCCCAACAAGTCTATCCAACATTTGGTCCAGAAAAGGTAAAGGAAAGTGATTTTTCCTAGTTGCGATGTTCAATTTTTTATAGTCAATACAGATTCTTCATCCAGTGACTTACCATCTCATAAGCCTATTGGAAAAAAAAAATTAGAGATTTATGAAAAACATTTCGGATCAAGATCTAGGAGTGGAGGTTCTGACATTCCTTATGCTTTAGCTGCAACTTCTAGACCTTCCACTTCTGGTACTACTTCAATGGATATTGTAATGGAGCAATTATTTATACAACAAGGAGATATTTTGTCATTATAGAATCAGGTGAAAAGCTTAGAAGCTCACTTGTATCATAATGTTGAATATACACAGAGGAGAGCTGATTTTGATATTACTTATCATGAGGCTATGGTGAAATTCATGACGGGAGATCATTCAGTAGAATTTCCTACTTGCCCGAGTTTTACACCATATGGGACTAGTGAGATGGAGGAGGATGTAGATCTCGATGATGATGAGGAGCAGGAGAATAATTAGTGTGTTGTTTTCTATCTTTTACTCTGTTCTTATATTTGGATTTTCTTTTGTTAGTTATTTATCGTTTTTTTTTTGTTGGAGTGTTATGCTTGTGTTTTGTTTGTGCTTAGGTGTACATTTGTATTAAACTGATGTGTTGTACCTTTTTGTTCTACTATTTTATTGTTTACCTTTTGCTCCATTTTATATGATAGAGTAGTATTTTACTTTGTATTTTTATTTTTATTCATTTTAATCTTAGATTTAATACCACTCAGCACCTATCTTTACTACTTGTACATGTATTGTTCTCCTGTTTTAAACTTTAAATTTTTTTCTCTTTTTTCATGAATTTTCCTATTTTAAATTACTCAAAAATTTAGGTTTGGGGGAAGAGAGAAAAACTTTTTAAGAACTAAACATTATTTGTCCTCAGAGAAATGTATTTTTAAAATTATTTTAACATAACATGTGGTATTTAGAGCTAGTTTTAGATAACTATATTTTTTATTTTATAAATGTCATAGAAGACCTAAGCAAAAGTTTTTAATAATAAAGGTTAGTTCTAAAGTTAAGATATTTAGTATAAGAGTATAAGATTATGATTTTACTATTTAAAGTAAAGAAAATTGTATTTTTGTGAGATATTAAGGATCTTAGATTTACACTTAAAAAGAAAGAATTGAGACTTTATGAAAAAAAATTTTAAAGCTAATACAAAATTTTCAAGGAAATGTGGAAAGTTTTAACTTTAAGAAGATGATGGTAGAGTTCAAAATCATTAAAGACTATCCAGATATTTTAATCTTCACATGACATGAAAAGAAATGAAATGATTGAAAATGATTCTAAAAAGAAAAAGAAAAGCAATATATATATATATATATATGTGTGTGTGTGTGTGTGTGTGTGTGTGTGTGTGTGTGTGTGTGTGTGTGTGTGTGTGTGTGTGTGTGTGTGTGTGTGTGTGTGTGTGTGTGTGTGTGTGTGTGTGTGTGTGTGTGTGTGTGTGATTGTGTGTGTGTGTGAGAGAGAGAAGAAGCTTAAGGAGATGTCTAATCAAAAATTGGCTTCACTTTAATCATCTTAAGAAAAGAAACTTAATTACATTTCTAAACTTAGGCTTAAAGTATTGGCACCATTAC